TATCAAGACTGGAAGATAAAGTGGATGAACTGGACCACTCAAGCAAAGATTATGAAAAATTTAAGAAATCACAAGAATGGAATATGCAGGAATTGAGTGATACCATAAGAAGACCAAACTTGCAAATCATAGGCATACAAGAAGGATAAGAATCCCAAGACAATGGCATGGACCAGATCTTCAACAGAATTGTGGAAGGAAATTTCCCAAAATTAAAAAGAGACATGCCCATACAAATACAAGAAGCATATAGAATACCAAATTGACAGAACCAGAAAAGAAACTCTCCACAGCACATCATAGTAAAAACAATAAATGTACAAAACAAAGAGACAATACTGAAAACTGCAAAAGAGAAACAACAAGTAACATATAAAGGAAAACCCATTAGGATTACAGCTGACTTTTCAGTGCAAACTATGAAAGCCAGAAGAGCCTGGACCAAAGTATTCCCAGTTTTAAATGACCACAGATGCCAACCCAGATTACTATACCCAGCCAAAATGTCTATTATAGTCTAAGGGGAAAGAAAAATCTTCCATGACATAAATAGGCTGAAAGAATTCATGTCCACAAAACCAGCCCATCAAAGAGTTCCTGAAGCAATACAAAGAGCTGAAGAAAGGAATGACTATACCCAAGAGGTTGCAGAAAGAAATTCAATGAAGGTGTAACTATGGAAATGCACAGCTATATCAAGAATGTTTCATTAATAACTTTGAATATTAATGGCCTGAACTCCCCAGTCAAAAGATACAGACTAGTTGAATGGATTAAGAAACAATAGCCGTCTTTTTGTTGCCTGCAAGAAACTCATCTCACTTTCAAGGACAGGCACTATCTTAAGGTAAAGGGATGAAAAAAAATATACCAAGAAAATAGTACTAAGAAAAAAGCAGGTTTTGCAATTCTAATATCTGACAAAATAGACTTCAAACTAAAACTTATCAGGAGAAAGAAGGCAACTTCATTCTGATCAAGGAACAATAAATCAAGAAGATATTACAATCATGAACATATATTCACCAAACTCTGGTGCATCCAACTTCATAAAAAGAATACTACAGGACTTTAAGACCCAGACTAATCCCAACTCATTAATAGCAGGGGACTTCAATACCCCATTGTTAGCATTAGATAGGTCAACAGGACAGAGAATTAACAGAGAGACATCTGAATTAAACAATACCAAATATCAAATGGGCCTAACAGACATCTACCGAATATTCCACCTAAGTACCAAAGAATATAATTTCTATTCAGCTCCCCATGGAACTTTCTCCAAAGTCGACCATGTGGAGCACAAAGCAAACCTCAGCAAATACAAAAAGACTGAAATAATTCCATGCATTCTATCAGACCACAACGCAATAAAGCTTAAAATCAACACTGGAAGAAACTCCAGTAACCACATGGACACATGGAGATTAAACAACACACTCCTGAATGACAAATGGGACAAAAGAGAAATTAAGAAAGAAATAAAAGTATTCCTAGAACTAAATGAAAAGGACAATACAACACAACAAAACCTCTGGGGCATAGTGAAAGCAGGGACACAACTCGGA